TTCAGGGCGTTGTTTCTGGGTTTATCAATAGTAGCAATAATGCTCTCCCTTCTCGTGCTTTTTCCGCTTGCACTACTATTCGGACGACTGCTTCTCCTCGTTAGTATTGCTGTATCCGCAAGTCCGACAGCCACGTTCATACTACGAGCTTTGTCGTTTAAATGTCGGTTAATATGTTTGAGTCGCCTCTCCTGGTGATCGGCGCAGCGGCTTTCGATCTGACGCGTTGACGCCGCCACTTGAGCCCGAAGTTGAGCTGTAAATCCAGTGCCACCGCGTAGATTTGGACCGTAAACTTTCGTCTGACCAGCTCGCATTCGTTTCGACTGTTTCAGTTGAGCTTTAGCGCGAAGTAGAAGACGTTCCATCTGCTGTTGAGCCAGTGAAAGTCCCGCACTACCGCTACTGGAGTCCAACAATCGGAGTTTCCAGGCTCCTCGACGCTCCACAACGTACTCCCCAGGTTTCGTATCTTTTCCAGCGACTGCAGGTGGTAATTGACGTAGAACCGCAACACCTGCATCAGAATCTGCACCCAGATAAAACCAGTCTTGCTCCAGATACACTTCGTCGTTGTTGTAGACGAAGTTCTAAGAAAGATAACACTTAGCTCGAGTTTTATAAAATTTAACAAAAATAAATTACTCACATCTTTTTGCTTGCGCCGCTGGCACACGGCAGAGCGAATGATCCACTTGCCAAGCATCTTCGCCGTTTTATTCCGCAATCGAGATTGAATCTCATCCACTTGCATGTCGCCATCATCTCGACTCTATAAAAAAAGTTAGTGTTTAATTTCTCTAGCCAGATTATGAAAAAAATCTAAACAAAATCCAAACCTTTGGGAGATAAGCTGTTACTGGGACTGGATAACCCACGGCAGCGGGTGCTTGTACGTCGTTGCGAATAGAATCATCATCCAGTAAGCCTAAAGCTTTAAGTTGAGGCGCTTCGCGTACTTTAGCGCCAAGAACGCCACCTTGTTCCCAAGATACATCACCTGGACCGACACTAAGTTGTAACCACACAGAATCGCCGTAGCGTATCGACCCAGCACTACGGACATCAACAAGATCCAACAATGTGAAGATGGCTCGATCCTTGTAGCCTTTGGCTTGAGGCGTTTGGAGTTTCTCTAGGGATTGCACTCGTACATGGCCATCCGGACTGCCAACCATCATAAGGTGGCCGTTGAATAATTCTAGCGCCACACTACAGCCATAGGAGAGTCGCGTTGCTTGCGAGTTGAAATCATTTCGAAGCTTTTCTGCATCAGATACAGGAGCAATATTAGCAGTAGAACCGGCAGGAACCGCGATACCAGACGAAGGAGTTGTTGAGGTTTGAATAAACCCAGATCCTTGATTTCCTGGTAGAGTTTGACTTTGAGTTGGCAGATTTTCAATACCATGGCCATTGTTACTGGGAGATGCAGGAGGGATTATAGATGTGGACGCAGACGTTCCGAGTGCGTTGAGTCTCTTCATGATGTCAGCTGAATTAACGTTCGATCCGCCAACTACACGCAGTCCTGCACCGACCAGTGTTGAAGGAGATGAAGTCGATATCCCAAGAGATTTTTGTTGCTCACGAAGCCTCGCGGAATGACTTAGATCGGGTAAGCTTGCCACATTGGGTAGCAGTGGGGTTGAGCTTCTGTGTAACCTGCTGGAGTTTTCATCTTGTGGATTAGATGTTTTAGATCCGCGTTGCTTGGATTTCGCCGACTTATTTCCTTGCGTCGGGAATTCGTCGTCTTCGTCACTTTCATCACCATCGATGGACTCGGAAAATGCTGCCAAACGTTCGCGTGAAGGTTGATTATTGCGTTCATGGACGAGGTCCAAGTACTGCCAAACATTGGACGACCGCCCAAAAGTATGAGGCCGAGAACTCGACGGTGTCCTAACGATGGGAATCATTCTCTTGCGTTTCTTTCAACTCAAGCACAAAAATCGCTTAATGAAGACAGGAAACGTATTATCTAAAAGCAGAAATCTAAAAAAAAAAAGAAAAGATATAACAGCACACAGAACACGTATTGAGATCTTCCCGCAGCAGTCCGCTTCACTTGTTAGGATGGATGAGCGCCATGCAAGGCTACAATCTCTACGAGAACAGATCCGGTAAACGCGTTGTGTACATGTTCTTAATCTCTATAGTAAGAAAAAAATCTAACTTGATGTTCGCATTAGAGCGGTTTGCGTTCATGACCAAGCGCGATGGGATGCAACGTGGAAGGTATCCAGTATTCTCAGTACTCTTTTTTTTTCAGAAAAAAATTAACATCATTGCTGTGATCTTAGGAAGTGCTTGGTGACTTGATTAATTCTCGACGAGTGGTTATTCCCCCCGATGTATTTTTCGACGTGTTGGAGGCGAACAATGTGGTTCTCGGTCGATCTGAAGTACGACTACTCTGGTACCAATTCCAAGAACCCAATGGGGCTATGCTAGCAACGAAATTTCTTCGCTGGATTGCGCTGAATGCACCTGCCGACCACGTGGATCCAGATCTGCAGTTCACACAGTTGCCACAACCTTATCGACGTATTAAAAAGATTCTGGACTACGATATCTTCGATGGAGCGTGGGAAACTATCAAGTTGGAAAGCACTCGATACAAATCTGAAAGCACCACTCAAGATGCCACGGAATCCTCAAGATCTAGACGATCGGAATCAAACCACGACCAATTAAAGGACTATGATGTCGCTAGAAGCCGATCTTGCGGGCCATCGCGCCGAATTCCACTCGAAAGTGAAGCCCAGAAAGTCGTGGGTCACTGTCTCGTACCCGTCGTGGTAGCCGCAATAAACAACGACAATGCGCCAACTCTGAGAATTATAAGCACAAGCGATGACAATGTCAAGGTATTGGGAGATTTTCCCATCGCATTTCCACTTGAGGCCGTGGCTGCTGGGACTGCAGAGACCATCACAAACACTCACGTGTCGATTAAACAGCTCAGCGCGCTCCAACTAGCAACTGAGAGCAGCTGCGGTCTTGCTGTTCATGTCATGGAGACCACGACTACCGAGTTTGTGAGCGCAGATCTAAGCACCGATGTCCAGCTTCCAACGTCAGCAACTCGCGAGTGTGTAAACATCTACACAGTAAAAACCTCAGAGACCGAGTTCTGTCAACTCGTTGCTGTTGTGACTCCGCAAAGTCCTGAGTCCTCGATTTCTTCGATTATTTTGTCCCCCGACTCCAAGTTCCTCGCTGTCACATCCGTAAGCTCTGCAGTTGTTGCCTTGTACTTCATTGACCACGACCAAGGTGAACATCAGCCGTTAGCGTTGACATCTCCAGCCTTTCGAATCGATCCGGAGTCAACGCGCTCGTCTTCAACGGAAGAAGAATGCAGACCTAAGGTCCATTTCCTAGTGGCACCATGTACTAGTCGTCCTCAGACACGAGTACCTAACACGTACGCACTAGCAGTGTGCCACGAGCTCAAGTTACTGAAGTACGTGCTCCCGTCTACAGATAATACCAGTGCCAGTTCGTCTCCTGTTCTCTTAACTCCAGTGAGATTATGGGAGCATTTGGCTAAGATCACAGCTTCCGCTCAAGATCTCACGACGCAGTACGTCGCTGTAGGGTGTCAAGATGGCTCCATTGTCGTGTGGGACGTGCTGCGCGACGTCGACTACGCCTTCCTCTCGTCTGAAGACAAGGCTTCGATTAGCAGCGTCATCTTGTACCAGGCTGAATACGTCGTAGCACTCTCGAAAGCCCAGCAACGACTCTACTTTTTCGACGTTAGAGAACGCGGTAAACTTGTACTGACACGTGTAGTATCCAGTTCGATGACAAGTCTTACACTGTCAGCAGCAGATATCCCCCTGGCGCTTGTGCAGTTCTCGAGCGGAATGGTCATTTTCTATGACGTCAGGACGGCTGAGGCGATCGGCAGCCTAGCACAGAGTTCTAGTTCGAGTATTGTGGGCAATCAGGAGGTACTTGCTGCAGTTGCAGAACCTCCTGATGCACAGGTGAACGTGTACAGCTGGCGTGATATCCTCTTGGTGTGTTTCCCTTCCTTCCAGCGTCAAGAAGAACTGGTACGTTTGTGCTCCTGTCTGCTATGAAATATCCACTCACTTACAGTCATTGCAGACCAGCTCGAACATCAAAAAGCTCTTCTCCAGCGACACAGGTGCAGGCTCTCTAGCTTTTGCTCCATCAAGTATCACAACGCAAAGCACCGCAGTCGACCTCCTTGAAACTGTGCTCTTACGGATGGCTGATGAGCTGCCATCTCCTCAACGCGGCCAGAAATCATCCGCTCCGTCACCAATAGCTCTGCACTCCACATCGTACGCCTCACTGCCCAGTCCAGACCCTCACAATAAGCCTACAGACAACAGTGTGATGCTACAGCCAGTCGTCCCCGACCACAACGCGTTCTTCGAGCAATACTGCAATGAGAGTCTCGACACTCTAGCCATCGCAGACAAAGAAGCCACACTGCATCGTAAACGTCGAGAGCTGCTCAAGGTCATGGTAGCTGGAGGAGCCTGGTAACAAGGACATAGTAAAGACCACAAGTCAAACCTCTGCGAGAATAATGCACTTACATTTTCACCTCCTTAGTTCTTGAAGAGAATATATCAGTCCTTTACTGACGAGAGCGCCACGACGTTCCCGAATTTCCAGCATTTCGACGCCTTTAACGGCCGCGTAGGCACCTTCCGGTAATGTGTGGGCACGGAGAACGCGCCGTTGAAGAGCGAGTCCAGTCTCTGTCGCTTATGCGGCTCCTCTTCGTCCGAGAACTCGTCCACTTTCTCCACCAAGCCACGATGCTCCAGCTGTCCTAACGCGGCCGTAACCACAGCCAGCGATGCAAGGCCTGTCGTCTCGGACCCTCGTTGAGCTGAATTGACAGCATCAAAGAGCTCGGACACACTGCGACGACGCCGTAAGTCCATATTCTCCAGCACCAACGCAGCCACCTGCTCGACACTCGCTTGGGGCGGCGTTGCCGCTGCTAGTGCGTCCACTTTGGCGTCATTCTTGCAGCTTGTCTCCCGGTTTACTCGGTCACTTCCACTCCATCCTGCCATCGTCGCAGCAGCCGCCATCGCCGCGGGAGACACGTACATGCTGCTGTGTTTATACTGGTCATCCCGATGATACGTCACGCCTTCGTACTCGAACGATAGTGTCGAAGATTCGCGAGTATAAGCCTTGCGGAGCTGCCCAGTGCTGCCGTAGAGAAGCTCCGAGTAACTCAACTTTCCTCGCTTCGTACGCTGACCCTTGTGTCCTCCCTTATGCCACTGCGAACCAGGATGAGGCGGCAACGGCAGAGGTTCTTGATCTGCTTCTTCCGGGACGCTACACTTGGCGTGAGACGGGTCCCAGTGGTTCATCGAGCAGTACCATTTGTCCGGCAGAGTGGAGGATTTAATATGTTGCGGTAACTTGCGCCACTTGTTGCATTTTTCACACTGCGCCCACTCCAACACCGTCTTCTTGATACCACTAGAGGTGCGTCCTCTTCCTTTGCCGTCTCCGTTGTTACTGCTAGCGTCGGTATTCCCTCCACTAGCTGCTGGGTTCCCTGTCAGCTTGGTAGAGCTCTTCCCGTGTTTCAATTTAGTCAGATCATTGGTCGAAGATGTCGGCGTCATGCCGCCACTTAGAGCAACAGACACGGAGGCTGTTGGAGTGGCGTCTATAGAGGACGAAGACGCTCGAGCTTTCTTGGATGGACGTCCTTCCTTCTTGTTCTGCTTCAACAAGAACGTATCGACTTCAGGAGGATTCGGAGCGCTGCATTTGGCCAGCTCAGGCGCCCACGTGTTCAAGCTGCAGTACCACACAGCGGGCAGTCGATCGAAGTTTATTGACGCAGGAACGACTCGCCACTTGCCGCACTGGGTACTCTCGCACTGCACCCACTTGACTTCGCGGTATTTCTCCTTCAGCTGCTTGGTCATCTTGCGTTTCTTCGACGTCTTGTCCTTGTGTTTCCTCGAGTGTTTGTCCTTGTCTTCCAACGCAGTCATGTCGGTAACAGAGCCCTTCAGCGATCCTCCTGATCTCTTCAATACACCCGATCCAGACGAAGAATAGCCGTCGTCTCCTGTACTAGACGTTGACTTGGACTTGGCCTTCAACTTGCTCCTCCGTTTACCTGCTTGTGGGGACGGATTCGCCTTCAGAACCTCTTCAGCGACCGCGCAAGACGCGAATCGTTCGTCCCACGTGTTCATCTTGCAGTACCAGTGCTTGGGCATGGCGTCCAGGTTGAAATCTCGGGGCACAGTCCTCCACTTCTTGCAGCTGTCACACTGGACCCACTTGGCCTCGTTCACTTCTTCTTCCTCCTCTTCGCTCGTCTCTCTCTTCAGTGTGCGCGCTTCTCGCTTTGCCTTGTTTTTCCTCTTCTTCTTGCCGTAACCTCTGCCATTTTTCAGGGTTTTGGGTGTGGCATCAGCGTTCGACTCCGCTGTGGCTTCCTCATCCTCGTCTTCGTCTTCACTTGGAACATGTTTGAGCATCAAACTGCCTACAGTACTTGACGGGATCAACACACTGGCGGACGGAGACTTGGGGATCTCCAGCTTCAGATCTCCGTCAATAGATGGCCGTTGTTCGCCACGTTCACTGCTATCATGACTGTCGTGACGCTGTTGCTTGCGATCCGGAGTGTCCTCTTCCGCAGACGAGCGCGCTTCTACCGAATCATTATCGGCTGACGGACTCGCAGGGATCGGGGACGAAGGTACCGGCGAGCTCGTCTGTTCCTGACCTTCTTTTTGCTCAACAGGTCGTTCCTCCTTCACAGTCTGCTCTGCACCATCACTCTTAGCGGACATCTCGCTACTAGAGCGCTTCTTCTTCAGCGGACTGGCTGTCGAAGCGTCGGAATCGTCGTCGCTCTTGCCCAATGCCTCCTCCAGTCGCTCCTGTATCCGCTTGGTAGCAGTCGATGGGCTCTCAAACAAAGCCAACGAAGACGTCGGTGAACGCGTCGCTCCTGCGTCAGCTGAAGGTGTAGCGACTGCGATGTTGGCTTCCATGCGACGACTGGAAGGCGTGGATGGACTGTTCTTGTCTACAACTGCTTCTAACGACTCTCTCTTGCTACGTTTGCGCTTCTTGCCGTTGTCGTCGTGCTCCTGTTCGTCGTCTGCATGGGACGCGAGACTGTCGCGCTTGTGTTTGTCTTTCTTCTTCTTCTTTTTTTTCTTCTTCTTGTCACGTTTCTCCTTCTTTTCCTTCTTCTCCTTCCTCTTGGTGCTGCTGGCCGAAGCTTCACTCATCACGTCGTCTTCATTCTCTTCTTGTGCTTGCACCTCACTCAGCTGCTTCGACACCGCAGTCTTCGGCTTGATATCGCCGTGTTTAGGACAAATTATCAGCTTGGACGAGATCTGACGCACGCAGTTGGACGGCAGACATTTGGCATGATACGCCACGGGACATCTCATGCATCTGACGGCCTCCTGTTGTGCTCCTGACTGGTTACAGCCCGCACACGTGTGCAGCGGACAGATAAAGTGAGTATTGATGGCGATTCTGGCCAATGGGAACTGCGTAATGCACTCCTGGTGGTAGAATTTACCACAGGAGAGCGCACGGCATTTACGCACGGGTCTCTTATTAGGGTCAGTGCTTGTAGAGGCCGGCGCGTCGTCCTTGAGCGTCTCAATGCCTGTCTGTTTGCAGTGGAAGCACGCGTGGGTCTTACTCTTGCAGCTGGGGCACAGCCAGGCTTCGTCTGAGGCCTCAGCGGCTCCGCTACTGGGCGGCAGACAGCTCAGGTGGAAGGCGGAGATGCAGGGACCCGCACAGACCACGAGATCGTCGCCCTCGCGCTCACAAACGACGCAAATGTGCTCTCCCTAAGGCAAAAACACGCAATAATAACGTTAAAATGAGCGTTCAAATCGGGGGGAACTGTCAACAGCAAGCGCACCTTGCCGCGGTCGCTGTCGGGCTCGCTTTTGACCGTTTTGAGGCTCGAGGAGGTCGAAATCGACGACTGACGCTCGCGCTGCCGCCGCTGGTCTTCCTGGAGCTGCGCGCGCAGCTTCTTGCGCCGTTTTTGGTCCAGCGGCACGCGGATCAGCACCGAGTCGGAGCTGGAGCTGCTACTGGAGCCAGAGCTCGCGTCCGAGTCCGCCATGGAGCGCGACGAGTGGGGGTTACGCTGGTGCTTATCAGGGCTGAGTGGGCGCGGAGGGTTACTTGACAGGGGATTGGATAAATATGAGAGCAATGTTGTGATTGGGTGAAAATCGAAAACCCGTGGGCTGTCAAAATTGACGGGCTGACCCGCGAACGTTGAAGCGGTAACGGTGTAGTGGTAATGTTGCTTGACTCGCATTTACAGCTCAACTTCGGGCTCAAGTGGCGGCGTCAACGCGTCAGATCGAAAGCCGCTGCGCCGATCACCTGGAGAGGCGACTCAAACATATTA